CAGTGAGCCCAAGGCTGGGCTTGAACTCACAAACCGCGAGATCATGACCTGAGCTGAAGTCGGACGGACACTCAACCAACGGAGTCACGCAGGCGCCCAAGGCAACAAGTTTTTAAAAGGCATAATAATCCACCGCGACAACTTTCTAGCCACGTAGGCGTGTTGAAGGCTCCCTCCTCTCAAGCAGAGCAGGGATGCTCACCTAACTGGGCCATGTCTTCACAGATGGAGACAAACACCAGAGGCGCCTTGTGAGCCGCCAGGGTTACCCAGCACGGAAGGCTTGTGATTGGTGTTTGCATAGACCAGACCTCCAGGCACAGGTGACCAGCAGGTGCTGGTGGGGTCCAGAGTTTGCAAAATCTGGAGCCATGGAGGCTGGGTGTGACCCTGGGTGTCCAGCTCCCAAATTCTTGCCCTCCCAGTTGGCCTCATCAAGAGCTATGGTGCCGTAGAACGTGAGTTGAAGTCCTGCCTTGATGGAGGTCATGGATGAATGAACTTGACCTACCAAATGTACAGATTCTTCTGTACAAGGTCACAACAGGAAGGGATTTCTCTGAAACCTTGAGTCCCCAGGACATCTCTCCCCACAGTGTAGAGCCACATGGGAAGGCAAATCGATGTAGAGTTTCTTTATGAGCACAGACTCATCCGAGGAGAGTGAGTTGGGAGATCTTAACAGCTAATGGCATTAAGCTACCCCACGTAGGGGCTCTACCCTCTGAGAGGACCAGACAGGGTGGCCCTGATGCCTTCCTCCCAACAACAGTGGATGAATGTTGGAAATCACTTTTGCTGATGACTCTAACTTGATCTTCCTTACATGGACTTTCTTTTCTCTTTATTTCAAATGTTGTTATTATGAAGTATCTCATGCATGTAAAAAAGTACAAAAGAAAATAATAATGAATGTGATTCGATACAGGTCACTTTGCTAGAGAAATCATGCATTTCAGACAGAGCAGGCTCTCAGCTCTCGTCTCCACCTCAGTCCTGTCTACCCACCTAGTCCACAGGTGGCCACTGTACTGAACTCGAGGTGATTTCTTACTTCATGGGTGTTTATAATTTTACTATGTATGTATCTCAGAAATATCAGATTGGCTTACCTGTTTTTAAGCATTATATTCATGATATCATGCCAATTATATCACCATGATACTTGTCAATATGGCATGGTCTGGAGAGATTACACACGTTGATGCATGTAGTTGCAATCCATTCATTTTTCACTGCTGTGTAATATTCCACTGTAGGAACAGCCCATAGTTTATCATTTCATTCTCCTAACTGACGGACATTCCAACTGTTTCTCATTCTTCCCTATTACAAGCACTAGTGCAGGGGACATTTCCAAACACATCTCTTTACACGTACATGTGAAGGTTATCTCTGGAGCACGTTCCAAGGAGTAGAATCGCCACGAGGAACATGTGCCTTCAGCCCAACTCAGTATTACCAATTGTGCTCACATCTGGCTTTGCCAATGGACTGCCCACCAGCAGTTTGTTTGCATTCTCTGTCCTTCACCTTTGGCCAACCCTTGCCAACCGGATGAATGGGAAATGGTGTCTCATTACTGTCTTACTTTGCATTTCTCTTCCACTAGCCAGCCCTGAGAGCTGACACTTGTTTATTGCACACTCTGGTTCCTCATCTGTGTGTTGCCTTGGTATTAAGGTGGTAAGTTGTCCTTGCTGCCTAAGCTGGTCGAGTCAAGATGCTTGGCAACCTGTGGGTCGAAGCTGCCTGGCTGAAATGGCCATCCTGATGCCGTGGGCCCTGTTTGTGTAGGAGCAAGAGAGAATCCATCTTTTTTTTTTTTTTTAATGTTTTATTTATTTTTGAGAGAGAGAGATAGAAACAGTGTGAGCAGGGGAGGGTCAGAGAGAGAGCGAGACACAGAATCTGAAACAGACTCCAGGCTCTGAGCTGTCAGCACAGAGCCCAACGCGGGGCTCGAACCCACAAACCGTGAGATCATGACCTGAGCTGAAGTCGGACGCCCAACCGACTGAGCCACCCAGGTGCCCCGAGAATCCATCTTTAAGGTCACGTCTCAGAAGCTCTGAGCCCAGCAAGACTGTGCTGACTTTTCCCAGCTCTGATGGTGCCCCCCAGCCACACCTGGATCATCCCAGCATTACTGTGATTCCCTTCATCTCCTTGGCAGAGTCCTAACCCCACAGCCCCAGGACTGCACCGATGTGCTCCGACTGGGGGAAATGAATGCCGACCAAAATGAGGTCCCCTGACTAGACTGGCATTCACATGTATTCATTTCATGCAGGGTAATTTATCAAAACGTGCAGATATATAGCCATGCAAATGCATGCCATGGTGTCGTTTATAATAGCAAAAAGAAAGCAAAAGAAGAAAAAAGGAAAAGAAACAAACCAACCATCAAATGGCTCTAAATGTCCAACATCAGGTTCTGACTAAATAAGGAATAATCCAGCCCTTCGTGGAATGTACTTTGGAGCTACCCAAGGTCATATTGCATAAGGATATACAATGTCAAGGCATGGTGTTCAGGACTCTTGACGTGGGGTCCATGGACTCTCAAGGAGGTCCCCTCTCTGGAAGGGAGACGGCATCACCTGAGATGTTTACCGAAGCATCTGAGCCCCACTCCAGCCCAAGGGAACCTGTGTGCACGTATGGGGGGGGGGGGTGTCCCGATAGGTACTGAGGTACCAAAAATTAACAGCAATTACCTCTAGATCACAGTATCAACCTTTGGATCCAGATCATCCTTTGTGGTGGGGCCATCCTGCGCACTGAGGATGCTTACCAGCATCCTGCTACCTGCTCACTAGACACCTGTCACACGCATAGCAGTAACAGTAAAAAATGTCTCCAGGCTTTGCCAAACGTCCCCTTGGGGACAAGATGGCACCAGGCTGAAAACCACCACCCTAAATATACTTCCACTTATAGGTGGATTAGGAGGAACTTAACCGAGGACCGTGGGGGAGGAGACGGGGAAAATAGCTGGGGAGAGGGAGGGAGGCAAACCATGAGAGACTCTTGAATGCTGAGAACAAACTGAGGGCCGATGGGGTGGGGGGAAGGGACGGGGGTAATGTGCATGGAGGAGGGCACTCGTGGGGATGAGCACTGGGTGTTATATGGAAACCAACTTGACAATAAACTATGAAAGAAAAAAGAAGGTATGATAGATCATATTTGACTTTGTTTTTAGTCTCTCTGCCCATTTAGTTTTTTTCTAGGATGAACTTAAAGTATTTGGTCATGTAAAAAATGTGGTGTTTCTTAACGTGTCATTGCCTGTGCTGTCAAACAAACAAATAAAAAATACACTCCGATGAAAGGATATTCACATTAGTGTTTAAAGGAAATAAGCTAATTTTATTATGATCTTAAAATAATTATGGCAAAGCACATAAAAAGGCCTTCCCAATGTCATTATCTCCTACGAGGCTTTAAAATATTTATGACCTTTGGAACAGGCATCCAGATTTTAAGTATATATCTTAAAGCAGCAATTATAATATATAGGAAATGCCTTACAAAGCTAGTGAATTTTTGCAGCGTCCCTTAAAACCAAAACATATAAACACTCTTAACAGCAACAACAGGAAAACTAACTGTGGCAGATTCATTTGAAGGACTTTAATACAGCATCAAAATGATATTTACAAAGCGTTTACGACAATGTGGAGGAAAGGTTTATGCTCTGTTGTTAAGTGGGGGGAAATAGCTACAAAATTGGACATGTCCATCACCACTGGCAAGTACAATAATGACAGTAAAAAGAATCCCGTGAGTCTCGTTGCACCTATGAGAAATACAACAAGGTGTTAAAAAGCGATTTCCAATCCAACAGTGATGTCCTAGGTGATTTTCCTCTCTACTCTGCTAAAATGTCCACATATTCTGTAATGAGCATGTATGCATTTCTAGTGAGAGAGAGAATAGCAAAGTTTATTTTTAAAAAAAATTCAAAATGATCACAAAAATGAGCCAAAATTTCCGGGAAGAAATAGGTGTCCATAATTGATCTGTACACTAATTTCCATCCAGATGAAAAAAATTAACTTTGTTCAAAAAAATGAACATATTCAGAAAGTACAATATAAACTAAGTGCGATTGTATCGGCACTTATCAGCTCTGGGAGGGATAAGACGTAAGCAGGATTGTACTATGTGGCCGGTCAGAAGAAGCTGTAGGCAGGGGAGCCTGGGGCGCTCCGTTGGTTGGGCGTCTGACTTCGGCTCACGTCATCATCTCGCGGTTCGTGGGTTCGAGCCCCGTGTCGGGCTCTGTGCTGACAGCTCAGAGCCTGGAGCCTGTTTCAGATTCTGTGTCTCCTTCTCTCTCTCACCCTCCCCTGCTCACGCTGTCTCTCTCTCTCTCTCTCAGAAATAAATAAAACATTAAAAATTTTAAGAAAAAGGAGAGGCAGTAGGCAGTAACGTGATAACAGAAAACAATTTTTATGAGAAACAAACTAAATAACATTTTTCCCCCAAGCTGAGATCACAGTCTTCTAAAACAGAGGATCCTGTTTAAAAGGCGAGAAGGGGCGCCTGGGTGGCTCAGTCCGTGAAGCGGCAGACTCCTGACTTCAGCTCAGGTCATGATCTCACGGTCAGGAGCTCGAGCCCTGCGTCAGGCTCCAAGTCGAGTTCTGTACTGGGCACGGAACCTGCTTAAGATTCTCTCTCCCTTTACCACTCGTGCTCCCCCTCTCTCAAAAAAAAAATAAATAAATAAAAAGAGTTATAAGAATTTGGGTTTGATCAGAATTTTCTACTGGAGACCAGGTCTCAGCCACTGCAGCGATGGTGCTCTAACTTGCTCATGCTCATCCAGGGTGACTGACAATTCCAGCTCACAGGAAATAATTACTGCAGACAAAGGCAGCCCTTCGCACACTTGTCAGGCGATAGTTGCCCAGCCTGGCCATTCCCGGGTGGCTCCAGTGAATTGTCTCGTTAGGTCACTCCTCGGGCTCAGCTGTGGACACAGACTATATCTTACAATAGACCTCAAAGAGAGAGGCAGCTGCGTGCATTCGGTAGAAAATAGAAAAAGGCATGGCCAGGTTGACCACAATGATCCAGGGTTCAAAGCCAAAGACGATTTCCTCTAGTCCGTTGTCGTACTCGGGGCGGCAGCCGAAGGCGGGAGGGATCCAAAGCTGCAAAAGGAGAGGAAGCGGTGCTAGTGGCCGCCTGGGGAGCCCCACGCACCCCCAGGCGCTGGCCTGGACTCGGGGACGCAGAGTCACACCTGTCCCCACACAGCTCCGTGGAGCCCTCCAAATGCAATCAGCCTGCCTGACTCTTCTGTCTTCCTCAGCCCCCTCCCGAATGAATGCTGCTCACACCCACCTGATTCTCTCCATCCACAGCTCTCAGCTTGGTCAGGACCTCGGTATCCCCCACCTGAGCTGCTGCAATGCCTGTCCACGTGTGCATGTCCCTCACCACGCCCGTCACTTCAGACTCCGAGGGCTAGATGTGCCTTTCTCCTCCCAGCCTTCAGGGCTTTGCATCTACCTCTTCCCCTATCAAGGGCTCTCTGTCTTCCTTCTTCGGCTGAATCCTACCTTCTTCCAAGTCCTGAGACACTTCTTCCAGGAAGCCCTCCTTGATCTAACTAGTCTGGGCAGGACCTCTCTATGTGTTCCCTCAGCCCCCAGGGTTCACCTACAGCAGGGGACATCTGTTTATCACACCCACCTTTCCATACCAGCATTGGTGCCTGGAGCCCCCAGCCACGTGGGCCTGTGTCGCTGAGCTCTGTGACCTCCTTTCTGGCTTGACCTGGACAGACAGCCCAGGCCCTGTTCACATCCCCCCTGATTAGGGGAGGAACATGTGCTTTGGAGCCACACCTGGGTTGGGGGCACTTACAGAGTGTCATTTAACCTCCCCAAGCCTCAGTTTCCTCATCTGGAAGATGGGACTACAGACACCTGTCACAGACGGCTCACATGAGAATAAAATGGTAACTATGTTTACAAAACCTAAAGCAGTAACCTATCGTTACTGTTGCTCGTGGAAGCTACACACCGGGCCTGCCTCAGTCTCCCTGCCCCCCAGTCCTGCTGTCGGTCTCCTAGGCCTGCTTCTCTTTGACACTGCACACTTCTGGAACCTTCTCCACCCTTGCATGGTGGTCGTGCAGCCTCTTGGATAACCCCCCCTCCCACCGATCCCACCTCCTAAGAGTCACAAAAATCCCTTCCCCTTGAGTCGGGCTGAGCCTAATGACTCACTTCGAACATCAGAATATGACAGAATGTGAGACGTCACTTCTGAGATTAGGTGGTAAAAGGACTGTGGAGTCCATCTTGCTCTCCTGCAAGAGAGGAAGCCAGCCGCCCTGCTGTGAGCTGCCCCGTGGCGAGTCCCTGAGCCGAGGGAGGTCTCAGGCCAGCAGCCAGCAAGGCGCTTGCGCCCTCAGCCCAACAACCCGCCGGGAACCAAATCCTGCCAACAGCCACATAAGTGGGTTTGGAAAGACCCCTCCCCCCCAGCAGTCAGCTGAGTAGAGCTGGATTCCTGACTTACAGACACCATGACATTAATGACCAGGTGTTGTTCAAGTTGCTGAGTGCGGGGCAATTTCTTACGCAGCGGCAGGTAACTGATACACTGAGCTTTCGTGAGCATCTCCATCCAGTTCCCTCTGCATCTCTGCCACTGTGTCCTCAGGCTCTGTGATTCTTACGGTGCCTCCTACCCCTCTGGCTGGCTCTTCCCATCTTCTTCCTGGCTCCTCCTTTGCTCAGTCTCCCACTTTTGGCTCGAGGCTCATCCCTGGGTCCCCTTCTCTCCTCTATGCACGTGACCCTGAATGGGCTCACCCAGCCTTGGCTGTCAATACCAACAATGGGCCAATGACTCCCCAGTGTGAATCATCCACCTGCTCCTCCCTTGAGGACCCCACGAGCTTCTCAGCCTCCAGCTTGCACCTCAAGCTCCCCCTCACATCAGCAACATCTTCCTCCCGTTGCTGGTAAAACCCCAGGTGTCACGTCACCCTCGTTTCCCCTCTTTGCCTCCACACACTCCACCCGCTACGCCGCCCATCAGCGAGCCCGGAGGACCATGCCTCCACGACGCCCTGGGGGTGGAGCCATCTCTGCCCACGTGCACCTGCCCGGCCACCACTGTCCCCTCACCCAGACCACTGCGGCTGCCTCTGGGCCGTCCTGGCTCGGTCCACCCGGACCCCTCAGCTACCAGACTCGTTTCTCGTGTGAGTAAGATCACACCCCTGCCCCGAGTAAGCCCCTGCAAGTCTTCCCAGCTACTTAAAACGAAACCGGCCCGTACGTGGGACTATGAAGCCTCTGCTGGCTGATTCCTCACCAGCTGCTCCCCCACCCGCCCGCTGCCCAGATGGTCCCTGTCACTTGGCCCACCATCCTTGCCCCGGGGCCTGACATCGGCTGTTTTCTAGAACACTCCCCACCAGCTCCTCCCCACCTGTCGGCACCCAGCCCCTGTCGCCCCCTGAGGAAGCCCCCCTCGCCTGCCTGGGCCCTTCTGATCTGAAACAGCGCCAGGCACTACCTCGCACCCTCTTTGCTCGTTCTCGATGGAGCGCACTTTGCCATAAGGGGGTCTCCTGCGTGACTGTTTGTTGCCAGCCCGGACATCTGGTTTGCAAGCCCCCTAAGAGCAGGACAAAGGTGAGGCCTTGGTCACATTGCCCCGCATTGCTCACAGCCGCACTGGCCCTCGGGAGCCACCCAGGGGGTCAGGAGGGAGAGGGACGGAAGGAAGACAGAGGGCAGAGAAGAAGGGAAGGACAGAGGACTGTCCGCGCAATATCCACACCCAGGCCCTCAGGGGCTGGCACCGCCCGTCTCAGCCAGACCCCGAGCCCCCGACCTGAGACTGCCATGCTGGAGACCCCGTGTGTAGGACTGCAGCCGAAGGCCCCAGCTGAGCCCCTCAGCCACCCCCACCCCAGCCACCAGACCTTGGACCCTCCATCCCAGCCCCCCACCAGCCTCAGTCGATACCACGAGCAAGAGGAGAATTTCCCAGCCACGATCCGCCAGAATTTCTAACCCATAGGATCGTAAGACCTAATAAAATAGCTGTTGTTTTTGTCCTACATTCGGGGTCATTTGTTACCCAGCAGGATGAAACCTAAGCATCTGACTTCTGGCTACATCCACCTGCGGGGTCTCAGAGGCACCTTACAAATGGACGCGTCCGGTACTAAACCCAGGCTCTTCCTTCCACACTGAGCCCCTCTCGGGCCTGCCTCCCCTTCAGAGTCCCCAATCTCCATAAATAGTGTCACCGTCTCTGAGAACTCAGGTCAGAACCAGGGAGGCATTCTTGACATCTGTCCCCCCTTCACACAGTACCACATGGCTGATCTGGGGGGACATCACGCCAAGTGGGACAAGCCAGACACAAAGAGACAAATACATACTGCATGATCCCCCTGACACCAGCTACGCGGGGGGGGGGGGGGAACAACGGGGGCTGTTTCCACGGCTACAGAATTTCAGGAAACAGGACTCAGGGACGGGTGGTGGTCGCAGTCGCACAATAGGGTGAATGCCCTTCGNGGACAACGGGGGCTGTTTCCACGGCTACAGAATTTCAGGAAACAGGACTCAGGGACGGGTGGTGGTCGCAGTCGCACAATAGGGTGAATGCCCTTCGCCCTACTGAACCGCTGCTTTAAAATGGTTAAAACGCGGGGCGCCTGGGTGGCTCAGTGGGTTGAGCGTCCGACTCTTAATTTCGGCTCAGGTCGTGATCTCACGGTTTGTGGGTTTGAGTCCCACATCAGGCTCTCTCTCTCTCTCTCTCCCTCTCTGCCCCTCCCCTACTCACTTTCACTCTCTCAAAACAAGCAATAAAACTTAAAAACAATCTGAGGGGCGTTGTAAGTCGTTCAGTCGGTTAAGCATCCGACTTCAGTTCAGATCATGATCTCAGGGTTTGTGAGTTCGAGCCCCGTGTCAGGCTCTGTGCTGACAGCTCAGAGCCTGGAGCCTGCTGCGGATTCTGTGTCTCCCTCTCTCTCTCTGACCCTCCCCTGCTCACTCTCTCTTTCTCTCTCTCTCTTAAACAAACAAACAAACCATTAAAAAGAAAGATCTGAGTTGCTACATCCCTCTCTGGAATACAAGCCTCACATAAAACGCAGCCCTGCCGCAGTCACTGCAGCGTGGCTGCAGAGAGCTGACCACGACAGGCAGGCGCCGTGGACGGGGCGTCCCCACCCTCCCACCAGCCACGGGCCTTGTGAGGCCCGTGGCGTGCCAGAGGCGGCTCCCCCCTCCTTTTTCCCAAGTCCTGCCGTCCTTCTGTGAATCTCCAGAACAGATCCCAACAAAACACGGTGCTCTTTGTCCCTTTTTCCTCCCTCCGCCCCCACAGCCCCTGCCCTGGGTCAAGGCGCCATCATTTCCCATCGGGGCTGCTTCAGGGCTTCCGTCCAGGTCTCCCCGCCCTGGGCCTTCCCGCACACTCCTGCTAAGGGGATCCATCCAAAACACAAACCGAGGGGGTCCTCTGTGGTCTTCAGCCTGAAGACCAGACCCAGCCAAGGCTTACGAAGCTCTGCTCAAGCCAGACCCACGGACCAGACCCGCCTCCCTCTTCCCACACCGCTGCTCTCCCTGACCTGTCTGGAATTCCCACTACACTGCTTTGCTGCTCCCCAAATAGGCGGTGGTGTCTCCTGCCTCTGTGTCTTTGAACAGCGTGTGCCCTCTGTGCTGAACGCGTCCGCTTGCCTTGGCACCTGGTAAACTTCCAAACTTTCCTTGAAACCCAGGCAGCCAGGACGGAGTTACTGTACACCTTCTATGTTGCTACTTCCCGTCAGAGGCTGAAGGCTGGAAACCATCCACTTCCCCAGCCTCCCTTGCAGCTCAGGGTGGCCACGTGAAAGCTGCTGCCTGGTGCTAGTACTTCCTCATGTCTTCAGCCCAGATGTGATGCTCGGTGCTTCCGCAGCCACTTTGTGACCATGTGGCAATCAGCATCACATGAAGCCTGTTGAGTGGAGAGGTGAACAGTACCGGGGTCTCTGATCAAAGGGTTCAGCTCCCAGATCGACCCTGAATATCCCACCTCGAGAATTCTTATCTTTAAGCCTGAAGAGACTGCTGGCCAAGCTTTTTATTCTTTGCAGCCAGAAGCTCTCCTAACGGAGCCTGGGCCTCACCTCAAGCACTCACTCAAGTCCCTCCCTGGACCTGTGCTCCCATTGCACTTTGCACATACTCTGTCCCAACACTTGCTCTGCTCCCTGTATGTTTTCCCGGTATCCGTCTCCCTATACTGTGACCTCTCTGAGGAAGACACTATTGGGGAAGGTCACCTAGAAGAATGACTGCCAGTCGACCCCCGAGCTGGACCGGGGCACTCAGAGGCTCCTCACCGCCCCCTCCCTCATCCTTGGAAGGTGGGTTCTCCTTGCCCTTTTCGCTGCCAGAAGCTGCCCCAAGGACACAGCCCTGAAATAACGATGTGGCATTGAGATCACCTGCACAGTATACGTGACTGAACCCCGTCAAGGCCTCTCTGTGAATATAAGCTTCTACGATTTGGCAGCAGCTACAGGGACTCGTTCGTCTTGCTGCTGCCCAAGTGTGTGGAAGTTCCCTTCGCCTGGTAAGACCGTCGCCTATAAGGCTGAAGTGGCCTGCCTCCTGCATCCGCCTCTCCCTGCCTCCGTGGGGCAGACCTGTCACAGAGCTCGCCCGGGAGGGTCACCAACCAGCAGAGACGGGGTCTTCTCCTCTGCGATCGTTAGCCCCGACCCCAGCCCCTGGCCCGCAGCAGTGCTCAGGAAGTGGGTTGGTAGAAGAGATGCCTTCATTCCAGCCTCATTTTTTAACCTCACACTTAAATTATTTCGATAATAAGCTTCCTTCTTTGAAAAAAAAAAAAAGCAAGGAAAACAGAGAGATCATGTTTAAGTAGATAACTTAATGCCAATTACCGAAATATTGCAGAGAAACAGAAAGGCTGCAATGTTCTTCAAGACTCTTCTCTTGCCATCGCCCTGCAGGAAATGGGGGAGGCAGGCTGGGCCCGGGGTCCCTTCCCGGCTCCCCTCGTCCCCCTCTCTGCCACTGCCTTCTCTCAGACCCACATTTCCGTGGGCTGCACATGGCGTCGTCTCACTGCCCGGGGAAGCCACGTCCCCGGCCACAGCTCCGCTCTTGAGACGGGAAAAGGAGAGGGACACGGCATTGCCGTTGCAGACTGTGACCACCCGCAGGGTCCTGATGTCCTCGGACAGCCTCTCTGGCTCTCGGTGGATGGACTCGATGATGAAGAGGTTCTGGATGTATTTCTCGGCGATCACCAGGATGGAGTAGGGCAGGTTGAACCAGGTGTAGGGGGGGCAGGCCTCGGCACAGAGGATGGCCAGGAGGGAGCCCCAGGAGATGAGCCAGGAGCCGGAGGCGGTGCCCACCAAGAGGTCCGCATCCAGTTTGCGGGCGGGGCTTCTGGACTCATCTAGGGATCTCTCGTCCATCCTGTAGATGCAGACCCCCAGCAGCCCGGCGGCCCCCGTGAGCATCAGCACGGCGATGGCATACAGGTAGAACATGATGAGCACCGACTCGCTGTTGGTTTTGGAGCGCCCAATCTGAATCAGATACACCACCACGACGCCAACCGTGGTGGCCAGCACGCTCAGGCCCAGGACCGAGCCCGCCACGACCCCGCGAAACTTGAACTGCACGTTCTGATGCTGTTGACCATCAACTTTGCGTCCGACATTCTTCCACAGGACGTAGAGCATCATGGAAGCCAGGATCTGATACTCTATGTTGAAGGGGTAGAGGTAGTAGATTCCGTGTGAGATGGCGGAGCAGAGCGTCGGGGGCGAGCAATTACACGGAGGCGTGTGGTCGTCCAAGGCTGGGGGCAAGAGAGCATGCGTGCGAGGGTGGTTAGCGTGCCCAGCGGGAAGGTGGGAAAGCACAAGTAAACAGTGTCACTGAGGATTCACACGTGAGTTTTCCCACTGAATAAAACCTTTGTGTTGTGCCTTATCATCATGTTTAATGTCGTGGCTAAATTGACGGCCTTGACTATCCCCCAAAGAGCACTAACTACACGAACCACATTTTATCCATACACCAGCCCTGGTAAGTAGTATCATACTGCCGGGAGCCACACCGGCCTCTCTGGATGGCAGTCACAGCAAGGAAATGGCAGCGTTTGCAACTCCTGCCGTGAGAAATGAAAACTGGTATCTCCTTCTGATACTACTGGCTCATGTTGTGCTGGTATTGACCAGGCCTCACAATATTCCATATCAGACCCATATTCTGAATACAGATCCCTCATAAGGAAAAGCATATTCCTGCCTTTACCAAAGAGATTTTAGATGAAAGCTCTATAGGCGATTGTCAAAAGGCTCTTCCTATGGGCCTTGCAGATCCGATACTTAGGGGGTTAAGAACACAAGAATTACAGTTGAGCCTGGCCCTGAGACCAAGGGCCTATTTTGGGGTTAAGAGCAAAACATAGTTACCACATATATCTTTGCTAATTGGTGAAACATAACAGTCCCTTCCTCAAGGCCTACTTTCCACAAACACCCTCACTTACACTGGCAGCTGGGATGAGGAAAGAGAAGAGTAGCTAAAACATAAACCCAGGTGCAAAGACTGACACATTCAGGGCCCCCATGTTAGTCTCCACAAACCAACCAATTCAGAAACATTCATCCTCTTGAGAGCCAGACAAAATACTCCTAACTTACCTATATACAATTTGACCTATATGTTATCCTGTTTTTCACTAAGAACATTCTGTTATTTCCTTGGTCAGAATAATTCTACTATTGACATCACAAAAGGCCTCCCATTGTGGGAAATTCCTTTCTCTGACTTCATCTTGTTGCTGAACCTTTAAACAGAGACACAAAAACCGACAGGACAGAGATGCCTGCCTGGTGATCAGAAAGAATCTCGGAGCTCTCTCACTCTCTCTCTCGCCGACACCATCCATCCTTCAGGGACCCCTGGACCTGCCAGAGCTGGCGCCTTGGGCATCGTACAAATTTACTTAACGTGCAAAGACGTCCACAAGATTTTGCCGAACCAGAGAAGCTTGCTGGAGGATAGAGTGTAATTCCACTTTCATAAATTATGGACATATAGACGATATGCAGACAGACAGACATAGAAGATATAATCTAAAATGTTGACAATGGTTATCTCTGGGTGGGAAAGTGGCAGCAATTTTTTCTTTTTTTCTTTCTTTTTTCCAGAAAACAGAAGTTCTATGGTGTCTCTTCCCCCCAGCTTCATGGATTTATGGGGACGTAATTGACATGTAATCCTGTGTAAGTGTAAGGTGTCTAGTGTGTTACTTCCCTCCCTTTGCTTCCTGTATTCTCTAAACTTTCTATGCACATATGATTTATATGTGTGATTTTTAAAATATTTTTATTTACTTTTTTTGAGAGAACACACAAGCAGGGGAGAGACAGAGAGAGAAGGAGAGAGAGAATCCCAAGCAGCCTCCATGTCCAGCACGGAGTCCTACACGGGACTCAAACTCAATGACAGTGAGATCATAACCTGAGCCCAAATCAAGAGTTAGATGCTTAACATATTGAGCCACCCAGGTGGCCCTAAATTATTTTAAAATAACTTTATGAGGGAAAATGCCCCTTCTCATTAGCACAGCTTTTCCTCTTGAGAATATTGGAAAAATACTAGCATGTGTAGCATGAGACAATTACCATCAAACACTAGCAGTGGGCATGTAAGCTGGCACCACCTTCCGGAAGGCACTTGGCAACGGTATAAAGAGCAATTTCATAACAAGGAGGGAAAGTGTTGTAAATAAATAATAAAATATATAACAGAAGCCTTAAAGATGATACAGCTGTGGCCTCTGACCTGTAATTCCAATCTGTTTTAAGGAACAGGTCAATATGTATTCAAAGCCAAAAAGTATAATACAAAATCGTGTGTCTGTATGTGGGGGTGGGGGTGGGCGCGTGTGTGCACTAGAGAGAGAAAAAAGAGAAACATTTTGGTGTCTAACAATTTAGAAACTGTTAAGTGAATTTTGATACCTTCATAGGATGGAATAGTAAGCAGCCATTAAAAATTATAATTAAGGGTTTTTTTTCTTTTTTTTTTTTAAATGTTTTTTACTTATTTCTGAAATAGAGACAGCGTGAACACGGAGGATCAGAGAGAGAGGGAGACACAGAAGCTGAAACAGGCTCCAGGCTCTGAGCTACCTGTCAGCACAGAGCCCAATGCGGGGCTCGAACCCATGAACTGCAAGATCATGACCTGAGCCGGAGTCGGACGCTTAACCAACTGAGCCACGCAGGCGCCCCAATTAAGTTGTGTTTTAATGATACAGGAAAATAATCATGTTACATAACAATGGAAACAAATAAGAATACATTGTATATACAGTATTTTTTAAATGAATATCACAAAGGGGTCCTTCGGTGGCTCAGTCCCTTATGTGTCCAATGGTCATGATCTATGGTCACAGGATCGAGCCCCACATTGGGCTCCAAGCTGTGTGGAGCCTGCTTGGGATTCTCATTGTCTCTCTCTCTCTCTCTCCCTCTGCTCCTCCTCTGCTTGTGTGCATGCACTCTCTCCGTCTCTGTCTCTCTCTGTCTCTCTCTCTCTCGAAATAAATAAATATATATATATACATATCGTATATCTATGATATCGCATATCTGTGCTGACAGCTCAGAGCCTGGAGCCTCTTTCGGATTCTGTGTCTCCCTCTCTCTCTGACCCTCCCCTGCTCATGCTGTCTCTCTCTCTCAGAAATAAATGAAACATTTTTTAAAAATAAATAAATAAGGGGCGCCTGAGTGGCTTAGTCGGTTAAACGTCTGACTTTCGCTTGGGTCATGATCTCGCGGTTCGTGGGTTCGAGCCCCGCGTCGGGCTCTGTGCTGACTGCCAGCTCGGAGCCTGGAGCCTGTTTCAGTCTGTGACTCCCTCTCTCTGACCCTCCCCTGCTCATGCTGTCTCTCTCTCTCTCTCTCTCTCTCTCTCCTAGAAATAAATTTAAAAACAATAATAATAAATAAATAAAATAAATAATTAATTAATTAATTAATAAAAGGATCCCTTAAAGAACCTGGTTTGGGTCCCTTCACTTTATGAATGAGAAAAGGGAGGTGCACCTGGGTGGTTTAGTCAGTTGAGCGTCCGACTTCAGCTCAGGTCATGATCTCACAGTTTGTGGGTTTGAGCCCCGCGTCAGGCTCTGTGCTGACCGCTAGCTCAGAGTCTGGAGTCTGTCTTCGGATTCTGTATCACCCTCTCTCTCTCTGACCCTCTCCTGCTCATGCTCTCTCTCTCTCTCTCAAAAATAAATAAAACATTTAAAAAAATTTTTTGAAGAGAAAAGGGAGGCCCAGAGAGGTTGAACGGTTATGAAATGTCACACAGCCAGGACATGATGAGAACATCCCCAAATCTGGGACATCCAGTTCCTAGAACATTTCTGCTCTGCACGTTCCTCTCGGCCCCACTGTTCTAATAGAGAAGTGACAGGTCACAAATGCGAAAGAACTTTGGAAGCAGGTAGACTGGTGTGGCAGGCTCTCAAACAGGAGCAGGCGGGGGCGGGGGGTGGGGGTAAGGATGGGCCACCAGTGCAAGCCTGGTAGACTTCAATAAAAACTTCAAATGCACTCAAGCCAATTAACGAGAACCCTGAGACCTCTCTGGGTATTTCAAAGCTATACTTTTAGCAGAAAGAACTGGCAATAGAGGCTTAATTAAAAACACAATGGGCCAATCTTCCATCGCGGTAAACAAAGACTGCGCCGTGAGAAATGGTACCCAAAATGATAACCCTTGGGTCTGGCAAGTCCCTGAGTCACGGAAGAAACCATTAATTATGCCGGGCACGACACCGGGATGAGGGGCTTAGGAGGTTTGGAAAGATTTTCAACAACAGATGATTGTCTGGCCAACGTTGAGTTGGAAGGAGCCTACAGTTGTTTGGAAGCTGCCTCTCCGACTCTGAACATTGCTGGTCTCTGTGGGCTCCTGAGAGGTCCCAGCATGGGGACCCCACGACTCCTATCACTCACCTATTGTGATATTCCCGAAGCCCAGGGTGATGAGACGTTCCTTGTGCTCGTTCAGTTGGTGCTTTGACTCATTCAGGACGCCGTTGGTCCACAGAAGCAGGTTGGTGAACACTGAGTGGATCACCCCAAACCTGAAAAACCACAAGGTCTCAGTTAGTGAGCAGCCCTGGGAAGCTCCGAGCCCCCCCATTGTGCACACACACTCCCGCACGTGCTCACACACACGCGTGCGTGATTCTCAGCCTTGATTCTGGGTTTGCCCGGCAGCTCAGACTCCGGGCGGGTCCCTATCTGGGGAGAGGCAGTTCCATGGGAACTTGGCAAAACCACGGTCTCGGCATTCTGCCTTAATCTTGAACCTGCCAAAACTCAACTCATTGTCGAGGGGACAAAAAGAAACTGGGTCTTGGAAGCAGAGGGACCCAGTGGTGGAGACTTACCGAAAGCAGGCACCAACCCCCCCATACCCCACCCCCTTCCTTCCAGAAGGGGAGAGAACCATGACGGAAAGATGAAGGGCTACACGGGAAATCTGGAGAGCTGGGCCCGCCCTCACTGTTGGCCGGCCAACCCAGGGGTCATCATCCACCCTCTCTGTCTTGCCGCTCACCTCTAAGGAAACTGAATCAACAATAGCCAAATACGAGAAGAGCCCAAGTGTCCTTCAACTGATGATGGACAAAGATGGTATGGTACACACACACACACACACACACACACCCCGTGGACTACTACTTAGAGATGAAAAAGCATGAAATTTGCAACAATAGGGTAGAATTGGAGGGTATTATGCTAAGTGAAATAAGTCGGTCAGAAAAAGCAGGTGTCTTTAAAAAGTAAATGAAATGTCTTTTTAAACATAAAATAGGGCAGTTCTTTAGAGCAGTTTTTGGTAAACAACAAAAAGTGAAGAAGAAAGTACAGAGTTTCCATACTTGCCCTGCCCCTCAGCAATGTATGCAGCCTCCTCTACTATCAGCATCCCTCATCAGAGTGATAAATTTGTTACAACTGATAAACCCTCACTGACACATCTTTACCACACAAATTCCATAGTTTGTATTAGGGTTCATTGTCAGTGTTTACATTCTGAAGGTTTTGATAAATGTATGATGACAGATTATCTACCGTTATAGTATCACACAGAGTAATCTCACTGCCCTAAAAATCCTTTATGCTCTGCTTATTCACTCCCGACCTTCCCCTTAGTCCCTGGAAATGATTGATCTTTTTGCTCTTTCCATAGCTTTGATCTTTTCAGTATGTCATATAGTTGGAATTATGTAGTGTGTACTCTTTTCAGATTGACTTTTTTCTTTTCCACTAAGTAATATACATTTAAGATTCCTCCATGTCTTTTCATGGTTTGAAAGCTCATTTCTTTTTAGTGCTGAATAATATTCCATTGTTTGGATAGACCACAGGTTGTTTATTCATTCACCTATGGAAGGACACCTTGGTTCCTTCCAAGTTTTGGCAGTTATAAATAAAGCTCCTATAAACAAACAAAAAAAAAAAAAAGAAAGAAAGAAAAAGCAGGTGTCGTATCTTCTCACTCATGTGGAATTCGAGAAACCTAACAGAAGACCATAGGGGAAGGGAAGGAAACGTAAGTTACAGACAGAGAGGGAGGCAAGATGAGAGACTTTTAAACATGGAGAACAAACTGAGGGTGGAAGTGGTGGGGGGGGAGGGGCAAATGGGGGATGGGCATCGAGGAGGCTACTTGCTGGGATGCGCACCGGGCGTTGTACGTAAGGGATGAATCACGGGCATCTACTCCCAAAGCCGAGACTACGCTGCATAAACCATTTGTTAGCTAACGTGACAACAAAAAATTTAAAAAAAAAAAAAAAGAAGAAGAAGAAAGAAACTGGAGCAAGTCAGAGACTCGCTGTCTGGTCTCCCCTGCAGCCTGGCAGGGCCACTCTGACCAGTGAGATGTGAAGTCTACGGGGCACTACTGAAAGCTTCCGCTTCCGTGATGAAAGGGATGAAGATAAGAAAGCCTCCTTACTGCCCCTCCCCCCTGTATTTCCAGCCTTGAATACAGACACGAAGGCTGGAGTTGTGGCAGCTACCTTGTGTCCATGAAGCAGCTAGCATGGAATGAAACGCTAACCCCCTGAGAAGGGCAGAGTGAAAGCATACACTTGTCCACCATCTGCCCGGAGGAGAAATGGTACGACTGGGTCCTCAACCCTGACCTTGCCTCTCCTCCGAGTTTTTAAACCCCAGCTGATCCCTCTGGGGCTCCCACAAGCGACCGCAAGCCAAACTTTCCTCATTTGAACCCTGGCTTCCTGCAGCAGCTGCATAGTGCCCAGGCACCAGTGGAGAAGGAAACGGGTGTTTGCCCATCTGCTCGCCCCTGTGCTGGCCCAGCGGCTATAGATTGGGGCCAGCTCACCCCGGGGCGTCCGGGAGCCACTGGATAGAGCCTGGTACAAATGCAGACAATGCTGTTTGCCTCAGGCCAGCTGCCTTTTCTTCTACTTATAATGCACACCGCTCCTTTTCTTCTTTTCTTTCCTGGTGCGCAGGACACCGTCCAATCCCGGCCCCACTGAGCCCGATGAGATAATGCGAACACCACCTGCAGCTGCGGACGGTTGCCGTGGGCTGGCAGCCTCCTGTCGGTCTGACCTGGAAACCATCCTACAAGCTAAGGGCGGGCCGCCTTTCTCATACTTGGGGCTGATGGCCCCAGACCACAACAAACACAAGGTTTCCGTGCGCCACTTCTGAGCTCGGTTTATGTTTTCAGCTTTGCTTGTACAGCAACTGGACCCTTTAACCCTCACCCTTGGGAAGAGAGAAGGACTCAAGCAAGCTAAGGGGAATTCTTAGATCAGGAGAAAAGTCCCAGGACATGCGAAAAGCATGGGACTGTGGAATATTGGCTCAAAAGACCAGAAAAAAAAAAAAAAACCCACAGCAAGTCTGGGAGTGGTAAGTTCTGAAGCCTTCAGGAAATGATGAATAAAGTAGGTCTGGGGTACATTAGGGAGTGGTGGGGACTGTAGCAAACTGAGAGCACAGCCCCCACCCAGCGCTAGCCCTTTATTGCACATGCCTTTGGGATGACCAAACATTCCAGGTTTTCTAGAGAAGTCTAAATCCAAAACCTAAAGGCGGTGAGTAACTCAAAAATGTTTAACACATCTCTCTACAAACAAAATAGGCTAAATTAAGCTCTGTGTGTATCCTGTTCAAGCCTCTCTCTGTCCAGGTTGGGAAAGGGGCCCCGAGACAGGGGAGAGACGTGTGTCCAATCAGTCAACAAGCAAGGCGAGCACAGAGTTCTGTGTTCCATCCTTTGGAGTCCCCTCAGGTGACAGATGTCTGGGTGCCTGGCCTCAAGCCGTCCTGTCCAAAAACTGAAGTGCAAGACACAGAGGTGAGCCATACGTATAATTTCAGATTTTCCTGTGGCCACAGTTTTAAGAAGTGGTTGAAAAAAAAAAAAAAGGAACAGGTGAAAATAGTTTGAATAATTTTCTCTTAAACCCGATCTAAATGGCTATAATGTCAACGTAAGATCGATAGCGACAAAAATTATTATTGAGATCTTTTATATTCTGTCACCCGAGGCTCTGAATCCTGGTGTGTACTGGACACGTCCCACGCATATCGGATGGAAGTAGCCACGGCTCAAGTGCTCAGAAGTTCAGCCACATGTGGCTGGTGGCTGCTGAACTGGGCAGCGCAGATGTGGAAAGTAAAGCCAATGACACTTCTCTGCCTGGAGGGATATGAGCCCGAATGTCCCAAGGCTGTGACTGCATGAGTGACATTAGCAAAGAGAAAGATGACTCCACCAGCAAAGCCAGGAGCCCACGCAGCTGCTACGATTTACAAACAGGGCCCTCAGCTGTGCTCAGGCAAGATGCTTGACCTTGGCCATTTCTTTGAGCCTCGGTTTCCTCATCTGCTGAAGGGGGTTGGGGGTCATAGGGCCCCAAAGGGGCAGGGCTCACGTGAGAGAAGTCCTCATGAGTAAAACACTTGAAAGAAAGTGCTTTATGCGTGGCCACGCCCACCCCACTCAGCCAGGAGTTTCTGGGTACAGACAAGTTGCCGCCCACACACCTGCTGAAAAACCTCTCGCCCTTTCACCCCCATGACTCTACTTCCAGGAATTTACCCCAAGCAAATAATCAGAGGTGTTCAAACACCAGAGATGTTTGACCCAAGATGTTCATCACAGTAGGGTTTGTAACAGCAACAGAACTTTCAGGATTAGGTGTTATGGACTGGCTCGTGTCTCCTCAAAATTCTTCTGTTGGGGCGCCTTGGGGGCTCAGTCGGTTAAGGGCCCGATTTCGGCTCAGGTCATGATCTCGCGGTTCATGAGTTTGAGCCCCGCGTTGGGCTCTGTGCTGACAACTCGGAGCCTGGATCCTGCTTCTGATTCTGTGCCTTCCTCTCTCTCTCTGCCCCTGCTCTCTCTGTTCGCAGCTCTGTCTCTGTCTCTCAAAAAGGAATAAAAAATAAATTCTTCTGTTGATGCCCTAATACCACAGTGTGGCTGTATTTGGAAACGGGGCCTCTGAGGAGGTCATCAAGGTTATAATGGTGAGGTCACAATGGCGGAGTCCTGACCCAATGGGATTGGTGTCCTTGGGAGCAGAGGAAGAGACGGCAGAGCTCTCTCTGTCTCCGTGGGCACAGAGGAAAAGCCACGTGAGGCCACAGCAGGGAGGCAGCTGTGTCCAGCCCCGTGGTTCCCCTTGACCTTGGACTTCCAGGCTTCAGAACCATGAGGACCATACGTTTCTGTTGTGTCTGCCGCCCAGCGTGGGGCGTTCTGGCACCACGGCCCAAGCAGAGTCACACATCAGCGCGGCCGGTTAGACGACGGCGGCAGCCCGCTGGGCAGTCAGGAAAGGTCGTGGCGCAGACGAACGCTGACGGAGGAGATGCGAACGATAAAATGGAAAAAAAAAACAGCAGGAAGAGCAGGACCATGACTGTGAGTAGAAAACGGAGGCGCCTGGGGGCTCAGTCAGTGCAGCGTCCACTCCTGACTTCGGCTCAGGTCACGATCCCAGGGCGGTGGGTTTGAGCCCCGCGTCGGGCTCTGCGCTGAGCAGAGACCCTGCTTCAGGCTCTCTCTCCCTCTCTCCTGCCCCTCCCCTGCTCCCTCTCTCTCTAAAATATTAAAAAATAAAAGGAAAAAGGAAAAACAACGGTATCTATTCATGGAAACCAGCCCACAATGTTAACGGCGGTCGGCTCGAGGGCGTCAGCTGGGGCTGTCGTAACAAAACACTCGATTCTTTCTCAGGTTCTGCAGACGGGAAGTCACAGGTCAAGGTGCCAGCACGGCTGGTTTTGGTGAGAGCTCTCACGCAGCCTCTCTTCTGGGTGTTCAGAGAGAGAGAGAGAGAGATCTCTCTAAGGGCACTAATCCCATGGGGGGGGGGGGCCCACCCTCAGGACCTCATCTAAACCTAATTACCCTCCAAAGTTCCTGCCTCCAAATACCATCACCCTGAAGGTTAAGGCTACTGCATGAGAGGGGTGCCTGGGGGCTCAGTCGGTTAAGCATCCGACTTCCGCTCAGGTCATGATCTCACGGTTCATGGGTTCGAGCCCTGCATGGGGCTCTGTGCTGACAGCTCGGAGCCTGGAGCTGCTTCAGATTCTGTGTCTCCCTCTCTCTCTGTCCCTTCCCCACTCACACTCTGTCTCTCTCTCTCTCAAAATAAATATTAAAAACAATTGTTTTTTATTGTGATTTCCAATGCATCGTCATGTTTCGCTTTGACGTTGACCTGTCTCTCCTGTACTTGAACACCGTCTTACAGCCCTGCGTAGATCTGAAGAACCCTAATGCCTCAAGCTCCTGAACTTGGGAGCTAACAGCAGGGCAGGAAATGAGGAGTTAACTTCAGGTGGACTTACAAGGAAGCAGAGGGCAGCCCGCACCCCCTCTTGGGTACCGCCTTCTCTTGTGTCTCCCTCTCTCTCTGTCCCTCCCCTGCTTGTGCTCTGTCTCTCTCTCTCTCAAAAATAAATAAATGTAAAAAAAAAATGAAAAGGCTACGACATGTGAATTTGGGGGAAACCCAAACATTCAGTCCACAACAGTGGCGTTACGGCGATTTTTAGATCCTATCGCATCCTTACAATCTTATCAGTTAAAAGGCACAATCCTTAACGAGCATCTGCGGGCGGAAGAGCAGACGATACCCGTATTCCTCGCCCCCCAGCACACAAAATGGGACAACCTGGGACAGAAATCCCAGGGCTGCCGCTTGGGCTCTGGAGACCTGGGCTGTCCCCTAACCTGCGGCTGCACCCCTTCAATGCAGGGGAGCATAGTCTCCACGAGTTACCCTTACAGAGCCCTCGTGCCGATGAAATGTGCGGGTGGGGTGGGATGTCTTTGCTCTGTTCAAAGGGGCAATTAAAGTGCTCTTTGCTGGGGTCTCCGGGCCCAAATTCGTCTGTCCTGGATTTGTCCCTTTGACCGCATTTGCCCATTCCTCTCCCCCGGAGGCAGGACCATCGATGCCACTTGGGCCCCTCCCTGCTGCTCCTCCTGAAACGGGAGGTGTGGCTTCTCTTGGTAAGGCTGGGGATAAAGATCACGGCCAAGGCTACCTCTCTGGGATGCACAGAGGATAGCACCGGCTGCCCAGCTCCTGGGACATCCCCCCAGGAGCCTGGGATACCGTGGCCCAGCGTCCCTGCGTATCCCCAGCGGTGCCTGGTAGTGGGCCCTGCACACTGTAGCCGCTCGTTAGATACTTCGCTGCCTGTTGAGGCTGATCCTTTCTGCAAAACGAGATTGGAGAAAGTGATTTCTATTTCAATAGTCTATCAAAACGGTTCTACCCAGGGATCATCCATAAATCCTTTCTTAAAATTTTTAATGTGCATTTGTTTATTTTGAGGGAAAGAGAGAAAAAAACATGAGCAGGGGAGGGGCAGAGAGAGGGAGGGAGAGAGAATCCCACGCAGATTCCACACTGCCAGCACACAGCCCCCAACCCACAAACTGCAAGATCATGACCTGAGCTGAAATCAAGAGTCTGATACTTAACCGACTGAGCGCCCGGACACCCTCACAAATCAATCTTTTAAATATCTGCTGTCATTTCAAATGGCGCTTGGGGAGTCCTTTCTATGAAACAAATGGTGATTCTTTGATTCATTGGTATGTGTGCACCCAGGGCTTTCTTACATGATGACAATGCATTCCATGTAGTTAATTCGCCCCATTATCCTATAGATTCTTTTCCTTGATCCTCAATCGCTCAAGAAAAAGGTGACGGAGAGAATGACAGACCTCACGCTTACTGAGTACTTATTACGTGCCAAGCACATGCTTTATGTCAATTACTTCATTCTGTCCTCAGAGGCTGGCTCTACTATCATCCCCATTTACAGATGAGGAAAACTGAGGATCATAAAGGAAAATATCACAGATGACAGAGTCAGAATTCAAGCCCACATGGTCCTACTTCCGGGGCCATCCCAAGGAAGAGACGGACTTCGGAGGGTCTCCTCCCCAGGCCACGAGCAAGGGCTTTGCTTGTCAGGATGGAGGGGAGAGCTGGTCTCCTATTTAAAGCCCAAGCACAATGGCAGTGATGAATCTGTGTTCTAAACGAACACCAAGTTCAACAGTAAAGCAGTTCCCACGACTTTTACCTTTCCAGGGTTTTGAAAGACTGGATGATGTCCTTGGCATGCCCCCAAAGAAAATACACCTGGGGAATAAAGGAAGAAAAGAAAGACGCTTCAGTGAAAACCATCGTTGTGCTTGCACACGGAGAGGCTCTGAAACATACAGAAACAGAGCGGGGCGGTGTTGGGGACGTCCGTGGGGACCCATCCCAGGGTCTCCTGGATGGCCAGTCACCTTCAGGTGGCAGTGCCGCCTTGCGGTGGGGACCGTGCTCCCAAGGTGAGGCTCCAGGTTTGCGAGAAAGCGCTGCCAAGACAGGTTGAGGCTGTCAGCGGGGAGGGGGCTCGGGGAGTGGCCGCCTGCCTCTCATGATCCCCGTTACCCCATTTGCATCACCCGTGTGAGGCTTCCCCCAAGAAAATACCCAACAAACAGTTCCTGCGCCAATGGCCCTGAAACCAAATTTTGAGTGCTTTAAAAAAAAAAAAAAACTTTCTTTTAAATGTTTTATTTATTTTTGAGAGAGAGGGTGTGAATGGGGGGGGCAGAAGGAGGGGGGACAGAGGATCAGAAGCAGGCTCCACGCTGCCAGCAGGGAGCCCGATGCGGGGCTTGAACTCATGAATCATGAGATCATGGCCTGAGCCGAAGTCGGTCGAGCAACTGACTGAGCCCCCCCCATTTAAATGTTTTAAATGAAGTGTTTTAAATGAAGAGCAGATTGGTGCAGGCTGGTCCTTCGCTTCACTCTGTTACATGTGCCACCCAGGACATCAGTGCCTACCCTGTGGCCAGGCACTGATGGGGCAGCTGGTGGGGACCTGCGTGCGAATCACGGGGAAATGGGAGAAGCTTTCTCTGTGTTTGCCCCTCCATGAAACGGGGAGGATAAGAAGACCCACGTCGGAGGGTATTGTGATCAGTTAAATAAGACCATCCATGTCAACTACTTAGAACAGCACCCGGAGACAGTGCCTTTCCAGTACACGCTGTCCACTACCAATTTACTCGTTCGCTGGCACTGACTGAACGAACACCTCCTATGTGTCCGGTATTACTTGAATTCCCAAAACGTGTTGGGTTTTATGTCATATACAAACACACACTCGGCACCCGGTACATACCAGACACCGATGGGCACTTTATAAATTTGCCTCGTTCAATCTTCATTTGCAAGTACGTGCTATAAAAAAAATCAGATGGCACCAAAGAAAATTCACTTACACCTCCTATCTCTTCTGCATTGTTTTACCTAAGACTGACCAGCCTGCTCTGAAAACACTTTCAGGGAAAGGTTCCTAAAACATCTGACAACCTAAAAGACAGAGCAATGACTGCTGGTAAAGTTGCCCTTCAGCCCAACAACAGGCAACCAGTCCGGTAAGAAGATTCATCAACGACTTCCAAGTTAGACAGCCACTTAACTGATACTTTCGTAAAGACCACATGGCAACACAAAAAAAAAGTTTATAATTTTTTAAAAGTGAAACCTCAGAATAGAAAATTCTGCATGTTCTCTGTAAAACTTTGACAAGACTGTACACTTAAGTACAAGGAAGGGAAAGAACACAAAAACAGCCACAGCTACACATTGTTATCCTCCTTTCCAGTGTTTTCAGTAAGGTTAAATTACATTTTATTTAATTTTTTTTAGTGTTTATTTTTTGAGAGAGAGACAAAGTGTGAGTGGGGGAGGAGCAGAGAGAGAAGGAGACAGAATCTGAAGCAGCTCCAGGCTCTGAGCTGTCAGCACAGAGCCCGACATGAGGCTAGAACTCTTGAACTGTAAGACCATGACCTGAGGCAAAGTCAGATGCCCAGCCAACTGAGCCATCCAGGTGCCCTCCAAATAAATGTTTTTTAATTACCATGTTTTCCAGCAATCCCACAACTGGGTATATATCCACAGGAATTGAAAGCAGGGTCTCAAAAAGATATTTGCACGCCCATGTTTACAGCAGCGTTATTCATAACAGCCAAAAGGTAGAAGCAATCCAGTATCCATGGATGGAAGGATAAGGTACGGTCCATCCATACAATGGAACATTGCTCAGCCTTAAAAAGGAAGGAAATCCTCACACCTGCTACAATATGGATGAGCCTTGAAGACATTAAGCTCAATGAAACAAAGCCAATCAAAAAAGACAAACACTATATGACTCTACTCATCTGAGGTTCCCAGAGTAGCCAGCGTCACAGAGATAGAAAGCAGAATAGTGGGCACCAGGGGTTGGTGGAGGAGGGAATCTGTAGTTAGTGCTTAATGGGGATGGAGTTTTAATTTTGCAAGATGAAAGGGTTCTGGAGATTTGTTGGACAACAATGTGAACATACTTAACACGACTGAACTGTAGCTAAGGCAGCAAATTTTATGTTATATGTATGTTAGCACAATTTAAAATTAAATACCATTTTAAAAAAATAGTGTTTTTCATTCTCCAGTCATCTAGTGTAGCAAAGGCATGTACTAAGTGTCTGCTAGGTACGAGATGCTTGATTAATTGACTGATAAAATGCCTTAAATTAGGAAGATAGAGATCTGCAACCCACCAAGCAACAGAGTGATAGTTTGAAGACTCACATCTGTCCAAGTCATTCCTCTTCCTAAAGCCTTTGATGGCTCCCCATTGCCCTCAAGATCTAAAGTGCAAGCTCCTAAGGGGCTGTGAGACTTAACCAAGTCCAAGTCCAAGTTCAAGATGAAGGTGTGGGCAGGGTTCTCCCGAGCCTCCCTCCCTGACTTGTAGATGGCCAGCGTCTTCCTCCACTGTCCTCACACAGTCTGCCTTCTCTGTGAGTCTGTGTCCTAATCCCCTTTTCATATAAAGACACCAATTCTATTGGATTAGGACCCCCCTGCATATGACCTCATTTAGCCTTACCAAGCTCCTTAAAGATAAAATCTCCGAACACAATGTTTCAGTGACCCCAAGCAGTGACCGTAATGGCCCAGGGTCTCTGTTGAGGGTGGATGAAAATGTTCTAAGATTGATTGTGGTGATGATTGCACAGCTCTGAGAATATTCCAAACCACTGACTTGTACACTCTAAATGGATGACTTGTACGGTATGTGAATTACAGCTCAACGAAACTCAATAAAGTATATTAAAATTTACTCTCAAGCCTTTTCTGTAGACTCAAGCTTGGCAAAATGTCCTGACTCTCTCCATCACAGGTTCCTCCTCATAGGACCCCCACAAAGGCAGCCGAGGGGACACAGAGACCGTCTGACAGCGGAGGCAGTGGAAGGACTGAGCCTCAGAGAAGGATTCAGGCTGCCTCATGTTGCCCCCCCACACACCTCCCACTTCGCATACATTCCACGGGAGCCCAGGCGACATGCATAAACATCTTAGGGTTTACCTGCACCAGAGTATGTGCTGTGTGTGTGACAGGGAAGACCCCTTCAGTGGCTGATAAACATTCAGAAAATCCAACGAAGTACCCAATTTTGAGGCATCCCAGGATGATGGTAATGACCGCGAACAATGTCATACTACCTGCATTGAGGAGGGCGGGGAGAGCACAGAAACACACACTTGTAAGTGTTGACATGCATGGATGTCATCTCAAAGTAAACGACATTAAAACCCTCATGTATAGGGGCGCCTGGGTGGCTCAGTCAGTTAAGAGTCCGACTTCAGCTCAGGTCATGATCTTGTGGTTCGTGGGTTTGAGCTCTGTGTCGGGCTCTGTGCTGACAGCTAGCTCAGAGCCCGGAGCCTGTTTCAGATTCTGTGTCTCCCTCTCTCTCTGACCCTCCCCTGCTCATGCTGTCTCTCTCTCAGAAATAAATAAAACATTTTAAAAAATTCGAAAAAAGCCCTCATGTATAGGGTCAAATGATTTTTTCAAGGGTGCCAAGACCAGTCAGGGAAGAAAGGGCAGTCATTTCTACAGATGGTGCTGGGAGAGTGGATATGCAATCACAAAAGAATGAATTTTACCTTACCTTATGCTATATACAAAAATTAACTCCAAATAAATCAGAGACTTACATCTAAAACCGAAAATGGTAAAAGATTTTAAGAAAATGTAGAGAAAAATCTTGACAGTGCTGGACTGGGCAATGATTTGCTGGATAAGACACCAAAAGCGTGAGCAATCAAAATGAAGATGGACAAATTGAAATACATCAAAATGAAAAACTGTTGGGCATCAGAGGACACTATTAACCTCCATTAAGGATGGAAGAAAATAGGGGTGCCTGGGTGGCTCAGTCAGTTAAGCGTCTGACTTCAGCTCAGGTCATGATCTCACAGTTCGTGGATCCGAGACCCATGTTGGGCTCTGTGCTGACAGCTCAGAGTGTGGAGCCTGCTTCCGATTCTGTCTCTCCCTCTCTCTCCTTGCCCCTCCCCTGCTCATGCTCTATCTCTCTGTCTCTCTCTCTCTGCATCTCTTACTTTCAAAAACAAATAAACATTAAAAAAATAACAACAGAATGGGAGAAAATATTTGCAAACTATATATCTGATAAGGTATTAGTATCCAGAATCTATAAATAACAATAGTTTAACAACAACCAACAAAAAAATCCAATTAAAAATGAGCAAAGTACTTGAATAGGTGGTTCTCCAAAAAAAGACATACAAATGGCGAATTAACACATGAAAAGATAATCAACATCACTCATCATCAGGGAAATGCAAATCAAAACCACAATAAGATAGCATCTCACATCTGTTAGGATGGCTCCTATCAGAGAGAGAGAGAGAGAGGGAGAGAGAAAGGAGAGAAGAATATAAGTAGCAAATGTTGGCAAGGATGTGGAGAGAGGAGAACACTGACACTGTTGATTGGAATGGAAAGTGGCGCAGCCACTGTGGAAAAAAGAATGGCAGTTTCTCAAAAAATTAAAAACAGTATTTCCAAATCATGAGAGACTCTTGAATGCTGAGAACAAACTGAGGGCTGATGTGTGGGGGGAGGGGGAGGGGGGAGATGGGCATGGAGGAGGGCACTTGTGGGGATGAGCACTGGGTGTTATATGGAAACCAACTTGACAATAAACGATTTAAAAAAAAAAACAGTATTTCCACACGATCCAGAAATTCCACTTTTGGGTGTATACTGGAAAGGATCAAAAGAGGGACACAAAAGGATTATTTGTACGACCACGCTGATGGCACCATTATTCACACTATCCAATACGTGGAAGCGAGCTAAGTGTCCATTGACAGGTGAATGGATAAAATGTGGTCCAACCATCCGACAGAGTATCATTCAGCCTTAGACAGGAAGGACATTCTGACATCTGCGATGACACAGGTGAGTCTTGAAGACATGTCAAGTGAAATAAGCCAGCCGCGAAAAGACAAATACTGTGTGATTCCACTTAGATTAGGTTCCTTAGAATAGTTAAATTCATAGAGAAAGTAGAGTGGTAGGTGCTGTGGCTGGGGAAGGGGAGAAAGATCAATTCTGTAAAGGGTACAGAGTTTTCATTTTGCAGGATGAAAGACTTCTGGATATAAACTGCATAAAGTCAATATACTTAACACTATTGCATAAAATCAACGTACTTAACACTACTGAACAGTAAACTTGTAAACAATTAACTTGATAAATGTTACGTTACGTTACGTTACGTTACGTTACGTTATTAACAATTAAGTCGAGGGGTTCCTGGGTGACTCAGTCAGTTGAGCATCCAACTTTAGCTCAAGGTCATGATTTTGCAGTTCATGGGTTTGAGCCCCACGTCAGGCTCTGTGCTGATGGCTCAGAGCCTGGAGTCTGCTTCAGATTCTGTGTCTCCCTCTCTATCTCTCTCTGCCCCTCCCCCACTCACACTCTGTCTCTCTCTCAAATATAAACATTAAAAAAAAATAACAATTAAGTCTATAAATTTTAGGTTGTTATACATATTATAATTAATTACATATATATAGCAAGACAGTATTCTGTCCTGTTTATCATTGCTCACACCCACGTATGCTGGGGTCTGACAAATGATATACATCCAACAAAGATTAGCCCAATAAACAGAAGGCCTCTAGGAGCTTTTCCAAAACAAAACAAAACAAAACAAAAAAAGGTCAGTCTAAGAGTGTCACTATTCTTCTAAAAAAAAATCTGTTCTCTGATTCTAAAATCCTGCTCTCTAGAGAATAAAGATGAGGGGCACATAGGCATTCAGTAACTCTTGTAAAATCTTTGCAAATCTAAAACTTTTCCGAAACAGAAAGCATATTTTTAAAACTGATAGGAAGGGGCTCCATAAACAGTCATGGAAAGGGCCCGTACTTAGGGGAAGCGAAGAAAGGAAGCATTCTTTAATGGTGTATCTGGCATGGTTTTGACTAAACAACAAAAACAAACAAAAAATAAGCATAGAAAAAAAAAGATGGAAAGGAATATACAAAATACATTAAAAAGAAACTTGTAACAAATAAAAATATTATCAAGAACAACATAGTGATCATGGAGACTTGATCAGTGTCAAAGTTCCTAATCGTTCTTCTGGGCCGACATTGACCGCCATTCACATCTTCTCTCCCACGAATGGGAGGAAACTGGACCATGTGTGACATGCATTATGGCGAGATGGAGAGAGAGGACCGGGCCCTCACATGAGCTATAACATTACAGCGCCAGCTTAAGAAGCCTGCAGTGCAAAGTAATGCAATCGCCCGGCTCCTTTCCGTTGCTCAAAGCCTTATAGAAACAACCCTAAGTCATGTTTTTTTTAAATCCTGGCAAACCCCCAGTGAAATCAAAAACTCAGTAAGAGCGGAGATTCAATCCCAATGCTTTGAAAAGGTTTGGCAAATGCACGGTTCGTTTTGATTACAGGGGAAATAGCGAGAGGAGGTGAGGCAGCCTGGCTGGAGTGGTAAGGGGCACAGGCGGCAGCCACGGGCACCTGGGCGCTAGTTCCGGCTGTGCCCCCCATGGCATGCGTGAATTCAGATGAGTCACTTCCCTGCTCCTAGCCTTGGTTTTCCCATCTAGAAAATGAGACTGGTCTCCAGCACTGGTTCTCAAACTTGAACATGCATCAGAATCACCTGGAAGGGTTGTTAAAACAGATTGTGGGGCTCCGCCCCCAGAGTTTCTGCTTCAATAGGTTGGGGGGGGGCAAATTTGCATCTCTAACAAGTTCCCAGGTGAGGCTGACACTGTAGATCTGGGACCGCACCTTGAAAACCACTGGTTTAGAACACCCCTGTCACTGACATTTCAAGAGTTATGATAAATACATCATATACCTTCTCATGGTCTTAAAGTCCTTTCTTCCTTTATCCATCCATTTATTTATACAACAAATATTTGGGGGACTCCTACTATGCATCTGGCGTTTTGCCAGGGGCTCAAAGCAATCCAACAAGATTGCTGCGGAAACAAAAAATACACACGTGTAATATTGAATAAATTGGGGTATGCACAAAATGTAGATGTGAGCACTGGCACCAGACCTCTCATCTGCAGCATGGGAAAGCAGAAGCCAGGGGAAGAGTAGGTAGAGCCCATTTCAAGGGAAGCACTGCAGCTTAAGAACCCCATTTCCAGCCAACATGTCACCTGCTTGTGAGGGTGAAAGACAGAGATCTGAAGATATGCAAATACAATTCATTCAGCACCTGTTTGTTCTGGTGATGGTCCAGCCACTGTCCCATGCACTAGAGACAGAAAAAGAGCAATAATATAAAGTATCTGCCCTTGGTGAGTTTAACATTCTAGTAGGGAAAACAGAGAATAGCAAATAAGTAATAAACATAGAAGAAGTGTTCGGAAGTGCTAAGTGTGTGAGGAAAAGTAAAGTGGGAAGAGGACTAAAGTTGATGATGGTCAGAAAGAACTCTCTTAGAAGGTGCTAGTTGAACAGAGGACAGAGGTGGGGGGGATGTCATCCACATAACTCATCTGACACAGGGCTTTAGCCAAACAGCCGGTGAACTGGGGGAGAGTCTCTATAATTGGGGAAGATGAAGAGGAGAGGGGACAATGCTGAGCAAGAAGTGTAGCAAAAGATTGGAGAGGATGATGGATGTATAATCGAAGGAAGGGGGGAGGGTGTAAAATGGATGGATGGATGGATGGATGGATGGATGGATGGATGGATGGACAGACAGACGGATGGATGGGTGGATGGATGGACGGACGGACGGATGGACGGATGGATGGATGGATGGATGAGTGGAAGGATGGACGGACAGATGGATGGATGGGTGGATGGATGGATGGATGCACACATGGACAGACGGACAAACGGACGGATGGATGGATGGATGGATGGATGGATGGATGGATGGATGGATGGGTGGATGGATGGGTGGATGGATGGGTGGATGGATGGATGGATAGACGGATGGATGGATAGACGGATGGATGGATGGACAGATGGATGGGTGGGTAGGTGAATAGTCCAGTAGATTGAAAAATAAATTAATAGGAAAGAAAATCAGGGTAAGAGAAGTTAAATCCAAATGGTGAGATAAATCAACTGGAAATGTGTAATTTACATGCTCTATAAAAACTTTGTGATACAGAATAA